GAAAAGAAATTATAAACATTGCGAAAAATTGAAATGACTTGTGCAATAATAGATTTTGCTTCAATACACAAATAGATTTTTTTCTATAATTTGTACTATCACAAAAGAGCAAATGTAATCTTTGTATAGAACTTTCAAAGTTAGTTAAAGCGCGGCAAGTAAAATTTTAAAAAGAGAAACGCATACGCTTTTGAGAATAAACATCTCTTGTTAATAAAAATTGGTTTCGGTGGTTAACATAATAAAAGGAAGAGACAGTATGCACGCTGCTTCGTATTTTCAGTCAATTCTGAAAACTGCTTTAAACTGTAGTCCGTTTATTTTGGCTTGGAACTGGTGCCAGAATTGAAAATTGAAGAAAATGTAAGATTTACGCAATAAATTGTAACAAAATAGAAATATTTAGGCAGGACTTTGCCTTCGATATTCCCGGTTGATGTTAATGTGGTCTTTAAATCATCGTATAGATCAGGTAATGCAAAAAACAAAGTTGCTTGCAACTGCAGTCCGCTCGTATACAAACAACTTCTAAGGTTATGCAAAGTGTTTGATAAAATGGCTCATCTACTGATTGAGATCTAATATTCCGCGGAAAGCTAATATTTTTTCCCGTAGACTGGTGCATTTCCCATAGAAATTGGTGCAGAAATAAAATACTTACGGCTATTTTCTTGTTTGAAGCGAGCGGTTTTTCTCTTGGAAATGATGCCAAAAATGACGTCACGGTCACGTGGTATGGCCACACTGCTGCTAGTCATACCGAAATAAGAAATTTAAATGTTATTCTCTTTATAATTAATTCATATATTTATAATCTTAAAATTCACGCCAGAAGTTAATAAAAAAGCTGCTTATTTGTACAGCTGACGTTAACAAATTTTGTTGAAAAAACAAATCAGAAAGGTGTGTCCGACCGAGGCCGAGCTGTTTATAATTACTAGATTCAAATCACTTGAACTGAACTGCTTTGAATTCGAAAACCACCAGGAACTTTTTATTCTTTCGTGTGGAAAACCTATCAAGGTAGTTTCAAAATTTCGCAACATTTTGCCTGAAATAATGCACAAAGGCGCACCTTAGGTCCTCGCTCCTAGTAAAGCTAATGTGTAGAGTGAAAGTTTGAAAAAAAACCCACAAAAAACAGTCATTACCCAGAACATGCAGAACAACAGTTAACTAAGAGCGTAGCTAGCCAAAATGAATTCAAGTGAATAGATTTCTACATTTTTTTTGCAAAAAAAAAAATAGGGATAATATTGAACATACAGGAAAATATAAGAAATTATTTCAGATATTATGATCAATTAGGTGACATGTTCATGTTTAACTGAAAATTAGCTTCCGCAATGTAAACTTTCAAATTAAATGTTATATTGGACATGACACAATGTATTCTAAATAATCAAAAGCAACAGAACATTGCTATACACCGCAAATGATCTGGGGTTTTTTTTTATCTAGCGCAAGTGATTATTCTATAAAATAGAAATATTTTGCCAAAATTATCCCTGTTGAAAAGACTGCCAAAAAATACAACTGCGTCGTATCATATTTTTTTTCAACCGCGTCGTATCATTTCGTAAAAATCATTATTTTCTTAGAAAATAAACATCTCTTTTTAATGAAATTTTAGTAAATGATGCAAAATTATATTTCGAAGTTTATGGATGAACTCTAAAATAAATATATAATTGATTTGAAGGAAAAACGATAGATAAAGCAGTATGAACTGCGTTGTATCCACACATTTTCATAAAAATTCTGCCCCGCTTCGAGTTGCAAGTTCGCTATAACTTTTGTTTTACAAAATAGTTGTGCAAGCAACATATACCGAACGAAGCGGAAAAAAGTGTAGCGTGTTAATACATATATCTGGTTTTCAGTCACTTCCAACAAAAAAAAGTTATAAACAAAAACATACGTTTTTCGTTCCAAGATAGCTGCGTTTGTTTACATTTTGTAGGATACGACGCAGTTTTGATTCCCGGCCCTGAAAAAGAAACTGTCTGTTGTGTATGAAACTTGCTTGACATGTCACAACAATTGTTTTTGATGTCAATGTTTGCTGATAAAAAAAATACGAAAAACAAACAAACCTTCTTCTTGTTTTTAAGCATGACTTATAACTTCATAGATACTTGTAAACAGACGCATAAAACAGAAAATGACGTCAGGCGTTCATGTCATTGTATTGTAACTGTATACATGCATGTATAATTATGTCTTATTTTGGCAATAAAATATGTTTAAATCAAGTAATCATTTTAAAGGACATTTAAAGAAAAAAATCAAAAATGTATTTCAGGTTTTTTTATAAGCCGGTTTAAAGCCGAAAAATGTGTCAAGAATACATTTCAAATTTTACTTACAATTAACAATTTTCTTTCCATATTACAAACAATTTTCGGCCTTAACGATAAATTTTATATCAGCTTAAAGGAAAAAGGAGTTTTCATCGAATTCTGTAAAATATATCTATCTTAGATATCTTGTCCACCTATGGCGTTGTGATACAGGTTGTCAAGGATACGCAACGACGTCATGTTTAAAAACGGGCTTTGATGGTCAAATATGACGAAATTTGTACAAAAATAGGCTGTATCTATTGGAATAAAATCAACGGAATCTTATCTGAAATATAGCCACTTTTTCATGCCAATTTTCAGGACGCTCCTCGAAAAGAAGATCCGCAGGAACAATATTTTTAGGACAAAGGCAGTATCACGCAATACACAAACCCATAACGGTTCATAGTTTTAAAGTGTCAAATGTTGATTATAAAGGGAAAATATGAAAATTCCTCTTCACGAACAATTATTTCATTGGCGTAACTGTTTCTACGGGCTTTTATTTTTCAGATTTTCACCTTGGGAAATTTCACTTTGAGGAAGTTACCTATGTAACTGTTACAATAAGTGATAAATAGTAAAGTGAAATTAACAGTCAGAGTATCTCCCTCGTATCGGCCTATAGTAAATTAACAGTATATACAAACATAGCAAGGGATAAAAGTAACTACTGTTACCGCTTAATAAATATGATATATATATATGATTATGATGACCCATGTGTACATCCTTCACGTAAATATTTTCTACTTTAAAAAATAGTCAAATGTTTCACTCGAATACATATTAATTAAAACTTTTGAACTAACAACAAATCCTGACACGCATCAAATGATTAAAAATGTTAGTAAACAAGGCTTAATTTACTTTTGTGATTTAACGCATGAACGTAAAATGTTACATATACATTACATGGTGTGAATAAACCAACTTTATGATGGTCATTGCAGGTACGATTTGCGAAACAACTTTACAATACCATCATATATACAGCGGTTCAACTTATGAAGATTTGTATCCTTTTCATGATTATGTATGGTACAACACAACATTTTGGGACGGATATATGCGTGTTGCCTGGAAGGATAATATTGGCCCTCAATGCAAAAATATATTTAAAAACCACTACTTTCTAGTCCTAACAGGTATTTGCTTATACATGTAATACATTTACCAGCACAAGCGTCGTAAAATGTCTAATATAGAGCTAATATGCATATTCATTTAAAGTAAAACACATTTTTTTAATCGTGTTCACATGCGTAAAGCAGGGTTTCATATTGAACTTTTTGCTTATATTTATATAAAATCGGTATAACTAGAGATGTTAAAATCAGTGAAATATATATATTAACATCCCTAGTTATACCGATTTTATATAAATATAGGCAAAAAGTTCATATATATTGTATCATTATAAAGACATTTATATATCTTTGTATTTTAGATGAACATAAGGATATAATTGAATTCAAAAACAATTTAACTGTGCTACAAGCTTGCATTATGTCCCAAGACGAAGTATGTGCAAGCAACACAACTGTAGATGTTTTGTATTGTGATGGGGATTTGATGTACAGATTTTCAGACAACAAAATATGGTCACTTGATTACATAGGACGTGTTTATATCTGCTTTGGTACGTGGAGAAAATATACAAAAATAAATTTCAATCAACATTCAATTAATTTTAAGCAATAAATAACATTATTAAAATATATGTTTTAATATAGACCACAATCCGTTATGTTTTGAATACATATCTTAAACTGCAGACTCGGTTTATACAAACAATGCAGTTAAAAGTATATTAACATTGTATTTTGTTTACGTACACCCATACAAAATGTATTTAATACTAGTATGTAGTTCAATAAAAAGGTTGCATTTTTACTATTGCATTACATCCGTCTTCAGCTTTCTGTCGTTTTACATTTTCACATCCACATAATCTGTAACGAAAAATCTTCTGCTATTTGATCTAAAAAGTAATGTAATAGTACCAGTGTTATGCTCAAATTGTGTCATAGAAACTTTAGATAGACAAAAAGTATAAAAATCTTTCAATTTTCTATCTAAAGCTTAAATGCCAATAATTGAGAATCGTGTATGCATCATTTTAAGGATTACAAAATTTAAAAAGTATTTGCTCGCCAAACAGACCACTGCTTTGGCATGTAGAGACAAATTATATAAGGTTTTATTTTCATAAATCACAATGCCCAGAAATCCGGTATATAGCATTACCTTGTAAAAGCCTTTATACTTCACATACAATAATTTTAGGTGAAAACAAATGTCAATGATTTAGCGCCATGATGAATAATTTAATTCATAACACCATTGTTTTGCTTAACGATTAAGATATTTGCTGCTACATTCATTTGGACCGCTTAAAATATGACAGTAATTATGACCAATAATAACTTTGAGAACAGTTTCATACTGTCAATTATTAATGTTTATGTTTCTTTGTTTGCAGATAAAATATATTTCAGCAGTAAGTATTACATGAATATTCTCTTTATTCAGTTCAACAAAGTTGTCAAAGTCTGCAAAAGCCTAACCAATGTTATAAATGGAAAACTTAGCATGGTTTTGTGATCGGCATTCGGTCGTCTGCTTCTTAAGGCAACTGTTAAAATGCCTTGAAAAGACGATTTAGTTAATAAGAGAATAAAACTTAAATTTGTTAAAACATTTGTTCAACCTCAGGGTAGATGAAATCCATTGGAATTATCCTTATGTGGTCGTCTACAAAATAGGCAGAGTTTGTTGAGCAAGATGGTGACAAGAGCTATAAATACAAAAAAGTTTAAACCGGCTTTCTCATCTTCTGAGAACTATTGCGTTTTGTAAAAACACAAACTACATGAATGATCCTGAAGGTTATAAAACATTCATTATGAGCTCTGTCTCAAATCTCAAAATGTTAACGTCAGTGTACATTTTTGTCGGTTTATGTTTATGTTTAAGTATGAAATATTTCTTTATATACCACACTGGCCATAGCTTTCGAAGAAGCGATAGGTACATTGCAGCGGCAGTGGATAAACAATGGCCATTTGCTTTTGTCTGTAAGTTTATGACTTAATTTCACTTTATGTTTGAATGTTGTACTGTAAGCACCTAGTGAGATCGGAGCCCATATATGTACTCTTCCAGAATATGACACGCACACTGTACAATGCAAACTAGTTGTTTACAGTAAAACATAAAAACATAAAGTTTGCTCTCAAAACTTTGATATTTTCTGTGAACTGGTTTCACTCAGGTGATAGTTTGTTTTGTGTTATTTACTGGTTTCTATGCCCATTTTAACTCATTGTTGGTCATTTTTTCACGTAACCGGCTTTAATGGATTACATGTTTTTACCAATGACGGAAATTTTTCATCTTGGCAGGCCTCTTTATCGCTAAATCGGCGAGTCCTCTCGGGACGGATATTCTGATCAGAACCGCAACATGACTTCGAGTAAGCGATAGAAAAAAGGACCATTGTACATAATGTCCAATATCAAGTCTCACGGAGAAATAACTCCTCCACCGAGGATCGAACCAACGATTCATTCATTCCTTATCCAATGTTTCCCTACTGAGCTAGACGGGCGTAAGCAACTCATGTTAGGACATAGAGGTTAACAGTGCCCATTGCTCTTTTGTTTTTAGTAATCAGTCTTGTGATTTCTAATTGTGATTTCATAATCTTACAACATATTTTTCAACGAAGCAAAAAAAAAAAGAAAAAAAAAGAGACATTTACAATAGAAATAATAAACATGTATACGCATAAAAGGAGCAACAGACCATCAAGATTGTTTTGTTGATTCTTTTATTTTAAAATTCGATATGATTGTAAGCACATGTTCATTTAATTCAATTTAACGTGTTTATCTAATTGTATTTCATTGTCAATTATAAACTTTCAGATTGTTCAACACCAGGACTAGATTTGCCAGCAGAACATCTTAACAGTAGCGCAAAACTTGTTAAAGTCAATTTTTCTGAAACTGAAATTGGTTGGTATAACAGTATGTATGATGGTCAAAACTACATAATACCTTTGATAAAAGATATAAACGTCATCTCTGCAGTATGTTACGGTGATGACGGGATTGGATTATATAGTCAAGGTAACAAAGTTGTTTGTTTAAACCAATAATTACAATACATTGTTATTGAGAAAATGGTCTTTGTTTGTAATTACACATAAACACGCACTAATAAAATTTGATGTCAATGATTAATGCTATAACGTTGGTTTCACGTTTAAAACACTTAACCCTAAATACTATTTATCCGCTTTTAGATTCTGATAAAGTTATTTTTATCATTATATGGTTTATACTGTGTGCGGTTGTATGAATCCAGTTATTCACTGTATGTGTCTAAATATATGTTGTTGTTTACTTTTTTAAATGGTATTCAATATATATGACGACTTTGTGATGTAAGGGAGGCGAATGAGACTACTATATGCATCATGTACTAAACTGTTATATGTTGTTGAAGTTGCCAAAAAAAAAGATTAAATACATGTAAATAAAAAATAAATAAATGAAAAACAAACCTGTTCTTGTCCGACTGTCCTACTTCTTTTTAAACGAAAAACTCAACAGTAACTGGAAAAAACAATAGTTGTACATCTAAAAATTAACATGCTCAAGAAGGAAACATATTTTTCAGAACAAACAATCAAAACGAACTATTTATACTCATACACAAGTAGGAACCATGCTTTTCCTGAACGGAAACAAACAAACAAACAAACAAACAAAACACAAATATTTACACAACACACAAACATTTATATACTTATATATAAACACTATTGTTTCATGGTTTATAGGAGAAAAGCGCCGGGTTTTCTACCTTGATACTCGATCATATAGGGCGGAACGTCTGTAAACCTGTTATAGTGTAGCTTTGCAACAACTGGAAATTCTATGGTCTACATTTCAAATGAATATACTTTTATCTTGTCTCAGGCTTTAAGTGTGCGTATTGCAATAGGAGATACGAACATGTAAATTTGTTATTTTGTTCATGTTCGGTCAGTTGTGTAAATCTATTTGTAAACTTGTTATTTGCAAGCGTAGTTCTTCGATTAAAAGATGGATTAAGGGGCATATTACTTGCAGTACACGGATACAGTAAAAATGCTAGGCATATACACGTTCAAATTTTCAAAAGTAGTTTTCAAAAGGAACATTTAACACGTTTGGAATTTTGGAAACAAGCGCCATCCATAGTAAATAACAATTGGCTAGCTCATCTATACGTATCTTCTTCTCATTCAGGCTATATTCTCTCATATATCCCGTCAACAATTTGTGATGATATAAAATGTACAATGCACTTATTCTGTGAATATAACTAACAAAATATTATTTTTCTTTATAAGATGAACAATATTTGGACATTGGTGACGTAGCAGAGGGACAAAGAGTTTGTGAAGTTTCAAAAAGTGAATATTATTTTCATGAATCGGCGGTATGGAGACCTTCGTATATTTGTGATCGGCATGTCTATGTTAGATCATGCCATGGCAAAATACAATTGGATTTGACACTAAAACTTTCTTACGAAGGATATAAATGTCTCGGTAAGCTTTATTTATTATGTACTTACTTATTTTACATTTCCAATTAATTTAAATCTGTTATTTTTTCTCTTTATTTGTTTTGAATTTGAAATTGAATAGATCAAAAAGTAGCCCAATATGAGTGAAATGTGCTGCTTGCTTTTCAATTTTGAGTCATTGTTCGCAATTATTATTATAGCTATTCTGAAAAAAGGAGGGACCAAATTATCTGAAATTTTACGCACAAGTTAGTGGTATAGACCTACATCAAATGGTATATTTATTTTAAAAAATGATTTAATTCCGGTCATGTAATATAACACAAACATAATGTAGTCCCTTTAATCTATGATAACTGTATTCTTATAGTCCATGCCTTTATAATAAAGAACATTTAACTGCCGGCATTTAACATGATTTGTCAGACAGACCCCATTACACTTTTAATTTTGCAAGTGTTGTTGTAAGAATAAGAAAACACCCTTTTGAAACATATCGAACAGTTTGGTTTGAAAAACTGTTAATTATTACTTATCTGTTATAATTAAAAAATGCATACTATTTTACAGCTTTCGGTTGTTTTGTTGTTAAAATCTGTCTTTCATTACTACATTTAGTTCAGATAGATGTTGTAAAGGTTATACCAGAGATTCGACACACGGTGAAATATGCTGATGATGGACTGAAAATCTATAAACAATATGACCCTTTTCTGCAGTTCAAATGTTCATTCAAGATGTTAGAAAACCTCATGTACATTGTGAAATGGTAATTTTAATCTTCATTTTTTCACCTTTACAAGCTACAAGCTTTATATTTTAAGAAATAATGTTTTCTTTATTTGTATACATTATCACTGATTAAGGTTTTTTTTTTATTTTTATGTATTAATATAGCACATACGCGCGTGCACACACGCACGCACGCACGCACGCACACACATGCACACAAACATTGGCACGCGTACCAAAAATCAACACGCACGCACAAGCACACACACACACCCACACAAGCGCATAAATGACAACAACATTGTATTTCAAAGAAATTTTACGTTTTTATGTTTTCAAATGAACTACATGTAAATTATGTTTATTAATACAACTTAGGTACCTAAATGGACATTATGTGACAGAAAAGGGACCTTCAAGGCACGCAAGTGTTCTTGCTATAAAAGAAGAAGAACTTGGCGTAAACAAGCTTAATTATAAGGTAGTTTCTTCTGATTCACCAAAAAGAAGAGTTTGGCTTAAACTTATTTAATAAGGAAGTGCCGTCTGATAAATAACCCAAAAGCAAATAAAGATATTCATCCATCTGTGACTGCTTACATACACTGTTCAAAACGTACATGTAGTAAATAATGTCGAAAGTTTAGAATGTATTTGTTTATGTTTGAAGGTAAAGTGCGCTGTTTCCGTACATTCAAAGAATCGGTCTGATCCTATTGAAACAACAAGCGACGATTTTTTCGCTGGATTTATGGTATTCTTATCTTTATAATGCAATACATTTTGTAATTTTAACTTTTTATTTATTTTTATCAAAGTGAGCTACTTATTGCAGCCAAAATGAAGTAAATTTATTCTAAATTCAAATTGTTTGTGAGTTTACCAATCAAGGTTACACCGAATTCCTTCCTATCACTGTGTCGATAAATCACATGAGGTTGTATTGAATAAAATTGAAATATAATCTTTTATGGTTTTACAAGTTAAATGAATTTATTTGGTTATAAGAAAATATAACTTTACTTGCAGATAATAGATCCCGATGTTTCATTAAGTAAGTCAGGCAATGAAATTATAACTGTGGAACAAACTGTTCCGGTAGGATGTGCTTACAATGATACTTCTTCTCCAACATGTGAGGATACAGTCTCTGTGGTTGATAAAAACCTCGAGCAGAATATATGTTCAAATGGTGTTTTTGCAACCAATGCTAATTCTCCGGATACACCTTATTACGTTTTCAAGGTTCGTATATATATAAATATGTTTGAATATATACTATGATCCTCTTAGTTCACGATACCTAATGGTTTTAAACAAGAAGGAAAACAAACAAACTCAAAATTATTTCCCTTTTTTTAACAAAGAAGAACATTTAGTAAATGATGATTGTTTCAGACTTATGCTTACATTTTAACGGACTATTGTGACGTTTTGTAGAAATGAGGAAAATGGTCTTTTTAACGTAAGTATTTACATATTTCAAATATTGTTGTCTGGGTGTATCTCAATTTTCACCGATTTTAACACTGGTCACATGGAAATATGTCATTATCGTGAAAAAACTGATGACGCGAAACAGTGATGTTGAGTATACAAATATCAGCCGAATTTTGATTATAATATGAAATGACTGTATAACTCGTGTATACTTGGAATATGAAAATTAAATATTTAACCAGATAAACGAAGTTTTTAAACACCCGCCTTAATAGCGGTAGAAACCATTTGAATTTCATAACATAACATAACATAACATAACATAACATAACATAACATAACATAACATAACATAACATAACAATAACATAACATAACATAACATAACATATCATAACATAACATAACATAACAAAGCATGACATTAGCCATTTACAATGCAAGCAATGCAGACATGAATTTTTTAACAGAAGAACGTGGTCAATTCAAAGAAAAGGTTAAGTATATTGATAAAATGTACATTCAGTCAATTTAATAATAATAAAAAAAAAAAAAAAAAAAAAAAAAAAAATACAAGTTATCTGCAACTGTGACTAGAGGTTTCAATGGTTATCTTACTATAAAAATTTGCGTCTCTTTGATCATTTTAATTATAGTATGATGGTATAAAATACTTAGTAATCGTCAAGGTACATTTTTGTAATTTGTATTTCGTAGTTGAACGGCAGAATATATAAATTTAGCAACATTGGTAATACTTTTTGAGGATTCGCATGATGGAAGGGTTATGAACCTTTAGATTGATGGTCATCTACAATAATATGGTTTAAAGTATTTGGTTCTTAGTTCTCTATATTTCGGGCATACTAATAAAAAAATGATGCTCATTTCAATCATGAGCATATTCCATTCTTGGCAAATTCGAAGTTGTCGATCGACATTTGTGTATCTTCAAGTTTCGATAGCTAGTTGATGAGAAGACAATCTAAAATTAGAAAATGCCATTTGCTATTTTCTTTCATTTATACATTCTAGATATTTTTAAAATTAAAAGTATGTTTAAATAGACAATATGAAGATAACCCGTTAGAGTTGTTGATATTAGTGTACCGAGGATTCTCTGTTTGATGAAATAATAAGGGATGACTATATTATTTTGATTAATCCATATGTCAGCTAATTCTATTTCCTCTAGAAAATGTTTTATCTGATAAGCCCAATACATGTTGTTATATGTAATATTTTGATTAGCATCATTTGACAACATATAATAAACCTTTCTTATTAATACATTGGAAGATGTCAATAATTTGATCAAGTATTTAATCATTAATACTTTTCTACATATTTTCATAGGTACTCTTCCAAACTCACCATATAGCCCTTCTGGAATTTTTAGATTTTTTTGCACCTTACGTAAAAATTTACAATGTATCAACTTAATAGCTTTTGATTCGTGATTTCCCCATATTGGTGCAATATAATTTAGGACTGATCCAACTAGGCTATAGAACAGATTACATTTATCTTTATTGGTTAATTCTACTTGGTTGAAAATAATGATCAAGTTATGTAAAGCATATGATGCGTTCTGTGCTTTCTGCTTTGCTTTCTGTACCAAGAACCATTTTAAATAGGTATGTCCCTAGGTATTTGAAGGATTTAACAACCTCTAATTGTTGTTCAAATAAAATAAAATTATGTTGTGTATGACAGCCCCTTTCGAAAATCATTATTTTTGTTTTGTCGGTGTTTATTTTTAGGCCCCAAGTATCACAATATGCTTCTAGTGTGTTTAGTAAATCTTGAAGTGCATTTTGAGTGTTTGCAAAAAGTACCGAATCATCAGCAAACAATAAAATGAACAGTTTTAGCTCGTCTAGAGTAAATATTCCTTCGATGTCTGTGTTTAAATTTCCGACGATATCAAGTATAAAAACATAAGACTACAACTTGGGTCTCCTTGTTTGACCCCAATATAAGATGCATTGATTTTTATATCGAACATATTGCACTATACATAGATTGCATAGCTTTAACAATTCTTGAGCTGAGTTACTGAACTACTGCCACATGTTTGATTGTAACTTATATATATTGTGTCGATTGTAACTGATATTGACGTATTTCCATATTCAATTTGACAATCGCTTGTAGCACAGTACTAGTAATGTTAATGTTGAAATATATACGTACACAATGTCCAACGATCCGATTTCTTTATAAAGCACATATGTTGACATCACATGACATCACTTATGGTTCATATTTGTTACCTTAATTGCTAATTATGCTATGCGATAATTAATTACCTTCTTTAAAGAAATCTTTCTTTCTGTCATGAAACAATATTCATCGAAAGAAAAACATTTATTTTTCATGTTTGTGTATCTTAAACTACTTTAAAATATTGATCATGAAACAAACACTTTATCATCTAGCTAAAGTTTGTTCATTTATTTCAGTTATATTTCAAACTTGGCATTTGCTTTAACACAAGATTATTCAAGCTTAATTGGAAGAAACCGATGCATACATGTATCATTTAAAAAAAGAATTGTGCAAAAATCATATGAGCTGCGTCACGACAAAACCAACATAATGGGTTTGCGACCAGCATGGATCCAGACCAGCCTACGCTTTCGCGCAGTCTGATCAGGATCCATCCTGCTCGCTTACCAACTCTATTACAAGTTGAAAAACTGATAGCGAACAGAATGGATCCTGATCAGACAGTACCGATGCACAGGATGGACTGGATCCATGCTGGTCGCAAACGCACTATGTTGGTTTTGTCGTGACACGGCTCAATTATCTTTATAAAACAGACACTGAAACAAGATGAAATTTGGGATGGTATGACAAGGTTTGCGTTTAAGCTTGAAACAGTTGACAGAACATATGACGATAAGGATACGTATGATCTTTTTATAACACACAGCGGTACAAATGCAAAGTCTTCTGGAGACACTTGCGATGCCAAGGTACTTTTTGATGCATTTAAACTTACATAATGGAAACACAAAACGAAAAAGCCCTAATTGTTGGTGTGATTTAAATGTAAATGTTGATGAGAATGAGAAATATTTTTTGACTAAATCAAAATGGTCAAACGGTTATCGGAACATATTCCCCAAAAATTATTATCTTATATTGAAGCTACATGCCTCTTGATAAGCCAAACTATTCAAGAAAAATCAAACTTGAGTAAATTGTATAAAGTTTAATATCAAGATTCACGTATAACCTTACACGTTATGTGCCATAAGTGTCTGGTCATCATATTTCTACTGCGTTACTAACACAGAAAGTGTTATGTTTGCATACCCTTTTTGGCAATAAACGTTGAATGTAAGCACCGTTTTCAATGTTATAATTATTATCTTTTTTCTCTTTACACATATTTACTATTAAAAACAAAATCTTACAATGAATCTGGATGCTTGCTGCAAAGAACACACGTTACTAGCAACTTTGTTATTGATAATTAAGCAAGTTATATCATGTGAGGAAAAAATCATTCAAATGAAGACATCTTATTCTATTAAATGTTTACAGGTTACAGTTACCAACTTGGAATACAGTAAAAACAAAATTTGTTACTCCCATGTAGATTCACATATGCTCACCGGAAACGGCAGGTACATTCAATAATAATTATATACTTTTGACAAGTTTTTTAACCATATAAGCAAATTTCTCAATGAACAGACTTGTATATAAATAAAATTAACAATGGAAGTGACGAAACGTCAATGAAGGGCGCCCGCCGTGGTGTTGTTTGCCGTCTGCCGCGTTATTAACTGGTATAAACTCGATATGGTCAATAGGTTCTTAATTTATTTTTACACAAATTTTCTATTTTTTTTCGGTATTGGTCATTCCCGTATAGCTTTTCCAGCCCCATTATTGAAAAATCATTAACTATGTGGTCGTTCGTGTAAAAATGCGCCGCCAACGGATCGTTTTACTTGGTTCGTATTCTGGATAAATTTAGAAGGTGTCTTTGGTACAACGTATCCCCTGTTTATCAAACATAAATATAACATTCGCAACGCTTACATTGAACTGCATACACCACATTCGTAGATTTTCACGTGATCTGATTTCGTACCTTGTTCGAGGCCCGGTCACACCAATAAATGTGTCTGCTTCAATGACGTATTGACAAATCGCACACTTTTTTTGGATCTTCAAGGAGCGCAGGAATTCGACTGTTGAAAAAATAGTTTATTGTGTTTCTTTTGAACGAAAATGTCATGTAGGTTATTATCTCTTCTAAATGCTGTAATTGGAGGATTCGGGAATATTTCCTGCATTCTGTTTGAGACGTGTAATTCAGGTCGGTATTTTCGTACTATTTGTGCTATATTCGGGAGCGCTCGGGAAAATATCAGTAACAATGTCACTCTTTCAGGGTTTTCTTTATCTTCATTATATTCTAATAAGTCTCTCCTTTTCTTACTATCTACTTTATTTAATTCTGTTTCAATATGTCAATCTTCATAGCCTCGTTTTTGCCACTGAGATGTAATGTTCTCCATATGTTGTTTGTAAGTCGATTCATTAGTACATATTCGGAGGGAAGTCCATATGGTATTAATTTTTTGTCGGGATCTTGTACAGGTGTTTATCTGTTTGTTTAGTGTAAAGGTCTGTTATTATAATGCCATTCTGAATCTTCGTCATTACGTCGAGAAACTCAAGTTTTTCAGTAGAATATCTTAAATGTAATTTTATTCTGGGATGAAGGTTATTCCCAAGATCGTGGAATGTTTTTAAAGACTCGATACCGTGAGTTCAAAGGTCCCAAACATCATCAACATACCGGAAATACTCAAGCGGAAGTTTATCTGATATTTCCATCAGCTGTGATTCCCATGATCCAAGATAAGTAGATGCGTAATTCATCCCTAATCCTGAACCAATCCCTGTTCCTTCTGTCTGTGTGAATTTCCTTCCATCAAATGAAATAGGATTTCAAGGACAGTGACCATCATATAAATAACATCTTCTGTGGGTATGCTAGGATTGGCACGTTGATTTAATGCACGTGCAACCGCATCTCGTGCCTCTGCTCATGGCTCACTTGGGTACAGTGCTTTTACGTCTAAACAGAAATAAATATACGAGATATAATTTATCAATAAATATATATATGCAGTTTGAGTCTCAGCTGCGGCGTGCTGATTTTTCGTGCAATTTTAGTATTATTGAAGTATAATTATATACATATAATTTTATATTCAATTATCCTTTGTAAGTGGAATATTGATAATTTAAACAAAAGTTATTAAACGTTTATCAAATTTTAAGAGTATTTTTGTCCAGCTTTATTTGTATCTTAATGTTATTTTGTAAAATATGTTGTATCAAAAAAAGGAATTGCTCTTAAAACTTCTTATTTTAAATATTTTCGTTATGTTCCAGACCGTACGAGCAACAGAGAGAGGGTGACTTTATTCTTTACAGAAACATGTATTCCGCTAAAGATGAGATTCTAGTATGTACATGTATTTCAAAATCAGTGTTTTTATTAATTTATTATTCAAGTATTTAAAATTAAGCATTGAGTAACGTTAACTGTATTGAACTGTCATTGTTAAATTGTTTACAATTTTAAATTTACACTTTCTATTTGGAAATGCTCCTATCAATAAATATCACATGAATGAAAATCATGTTTACTATGAAATAATAGGTTCTTGAAAGGGCAGGGTATTGTTTTGGTAATTCTGGACCTGTGTGTGCTTGTGCTATCATTGTTCGAGCCGGCGCAGACGCATTTATGATAAATCGTTGTAACGGGCAACCGTTCGAAGTTAAATTCATTCAATGCGGCAATGGTGGAATTATTGAAGTTGTAAGAATAAGTGACAGTAAATATGAGGTAAATATAGAACATTGTTAAAACTGATAAACATGCTAAAGCATCATACGTGAAGTTTTATTGTATATATCACATGTTTTATTTATGTTAGCTTGTGAGCAGTGCCTCACATTATTATAGTTTACTTACTGAGTTTTATCGTGTTTTTTTAAAGTAAAAAAAAAAGAAATCATTTACATTTTTTAAACATTGTCATGGTAATACATATATCTAAAACATTAATACCTTTAAAAACCACTAAAATATTTGTAGATATACACTCCAATTGGTTCTAAAATTTCAATCCATCTATTGGATGGATGGGCAAACGGTCGCAATATGAATGTGGATATATATCTATCATCGAAGGATGAAGGACGCACAGATGGACTTTGTGGACAGTATGACAAGAACGATTCTAATGATTTTCTCTTAAGAGAACAGGGTCCCAACAAAGACGTTGTTGAAAATAATGATGACCATAGATTTTCTGAAAGTTGGAGGTAAGGTTTACGGTGTCTTTACAATGAAAGAAAAGAAATTTGAACTAAAAAATCAAAATGACCGCAGTCTTTAAATTTAAACAAAACCGGTAACATCAACCTTCAACAACATATACATGTACATATATATACTATCGTATCACCAGTCTACCCTATAATATTGACCGAAAATTTAAACCTACCTTTTTTGCATAGTTACATGATCCGGTGGGTGAACGTATTATCTTAAGAAACCCTAACAATCAATAATTCAATAACGTTTTATTCTTTTGCAAGTGTACATATTTAATGTATGCTAGTAAAGATACTTCAGATATTTATTGCGTAGTTGGTAATATTGCCAAAAATAGCCAAGTGATAATATTTTAGCTCTTTATATCTTGTTTACCATGTCTTAAAACTTATTATTCATGTATTTATTTTGGCATATAACATATTTAGAAACTCATACCAATCATGTCATAGCAGTTTGTTTTCACTAGCCATGTCAGTGTCGTTATCACTGCTGCATATGTATGGATAGACAATCATTTTAAAGTGGACACAAGTAGAAAGGCGTCGCATTGTGGGTAAAAAATATGGGACAAGGTGGTCCCGAATCACTTACCTTTTGCGTATTGGCTCCGCAATTTACTACTGAGCTATTCGGTCTTATTATCGGTCCGTGGTGAGAATGAAATCTAAATTCTTTCCCTTTGTGGTTATGGCGCTTTACATGCGTTGGTGATATTTCTAAAAACCACAACCATCCATCGGATAATGTGTACAAACGGGCAGTTTAATTTGATACTTTAATAGTGTAATAAGGTTTCTAAATGTTGATACCTCGGTCATGTAAGCTAAGTACTTGTCCAAAGAATCTGAGGCTTATCACGATATTTATCACTTTATACATGCAATTATTATAAATGATAACTGGGGTTACATGAGATGGGCGTTCGTAAACGACATTTATACATGTAAACTACTTATCCGCTAATTTATTAATGTAAGTAGGGAATTCACAAGATAAACAATAAATTATTTACGACGTTGTATCTTTCATAACAAGGGAAAAATAAGCTGTCATTTTATGTGTTGATGACGCCACATTTGACAAGTTCTGAAGTATCCAGTACTGAGAATTGTATGTCTCAAATTTTTACTATCTGTGAAAAAGTAGTACATATATCGGGGCCTGGTGGTAGCAGAATTGAATACTTTTTGTGCTATAACGTATTCAAAAATGTGTGTACGTAATAATAACAAGTTCTGTTGCCTTAGACTAATTAAAAGTTATGTTGTTACAAATATATTTTCATCATCGTCTGCTTGTACATTTACTGATGTGGTTTAGTTAGGATGTGCATTTCTCGTTCATTATAATAAGTTATTTTTACGTATTGTATGGGATGTTATATCTACGTCTTACCTTTTACACTCAGCACTGAACCCGGGTGTCTAAAAAGTCGTTTTTATACTTATAAAAGGCTATGGTGAGAGTTTCTATTTTTGCAGTTTTAAATATTTTAGCTAACTGTTATTTCAATTTGCTACAAATGAACTGTTCTTTTTATTGTTAGTTTGCAGAAGCATTTCATTCTAAATGAATCATCGTCTAAGAACAAATATTAATACACTTGTTACTATATATAGTAACAAAATTGCCTATGATTTCAACTGATTGTGAGTGTCACGTGACCTATTATGAGTTTGCGGCCCCGGGCCGAGAACTAGTTATCAGCCCGCAGAACATGTGCACGTGCATAAACTGAAATAATGATGTCATATTTTACGTCATCAAACAGTTAACTGTAATAGCACGAATCGCTTATTTTATTACGAGTGCTGTTAAAAGCGTATTTCGAACAACACATTTTTGTTACAATTGAAATTTGAAGAAATAATAAGACAAATTAATTCCGAAAAAAAAAATGAAAATAAAAACTTGCTTCTAGATTCTACTGCTTTGAACACACAAACAGTAAACATCTGTGTACAGAACAGTAGAAATGTAGACAAGAATTTCAACGAAAGAACTTCAAAGTATTTGGTTTTTTTTTTATTAAATGCTACTATTAGATCTACCAAGTGTGTTAAAGACATTAATAGACGGCAGAGTAGGGCCGGAAGGTGATAATCGGCCCTGAAATGAATAATGCCCTCAGGCTGAAGCCCTCGGGGCCATTATTCATTTTGCGGGCCGATTATCACCTTCTGACCCTACTCTGCCGTGTATTTATCTCTTATTCTTAATCACAACTATCAAGTCGGGGATGAAACAAAAGCAGTTAAATGAAAATTGTACGTGTCTATTACACAAGATGTTTCATGACTTCAAATGCCCTCTTAAAATTCCATTTAATCTTGTTCGTAACATTGTTTTCTTTTTCACGATAGGCCTAAGCGCTTTCTTCTATTTAGTGAGCATACATCGGTTCGAACATGTCACATCGAACGTTCCATGATTAGCACTAAATGTACACATTTGTGGCTGTTTAAAAATTTCAAATTCCACCGTTTTAATTATATTAAAAAGAAATACTCTGCTTAACGGTAGTTTACATTTCTCGTTGTCGTCTTTGCACAGCATGTTAAAACAAACCGAATCTGTAAATTTTCATTTTTACCGTGCCGAAAGATCTCATCGGATTCTGTTTTCTGTATTGCTTTTAAAGGACAATTAGCCGATTTTGCACTTATTCCACTGCCTGTGGTTTCGTGTTTCTTGTTCTGTATTTCTGAAGTTCCACGAATAAGATAAGAAAATCCAGCATGTATTGTCTTTAAGGACTGTTTGTTCTCTGAATATTTCTCTTTTAATGCGTGTTTAAGGTTAAAGGACGGCGAAAATCTCTTCAAAGACAATACAATCTCATTAAGGAAATGGAATGGTTATGTACCTCCGATATGTCGTCGCACAGGTTCTATAACCTTTACCAAAATGGAAAAATGTTCCGAGGCGGCGAATAAATATGGAAGGAGGAAAAGACATGAAAAAGATGGACATACTGTAAAAGTAAAGAGGAATCAATTGCATGTAACTAGAGATTTAGATAGCCGTAAAAAGGTATATGTAAATGTGTACATTCAAACTTTACTGTGTTATAGAACTTAAGTTTAAAATATTGAATTAGATTATACTAAAATTATGTCCCTTTTAAGTCCTGAAGTAAACTTAGGGATAATTCCAATAAGTTTAAAATATCAAACATTATGTTATTCTTATAACCATTTGCAACAGCAAATATCTTTAACTCCAAGTTTGATTATGTTTTCTCTAGACCTCAGCCCTTTAGCGTATCCCAGCCATGCAAACAGAAGCTTGTTCCAACCACCTTTGCCAAAAGTAACTTCATCGAAAGATGGTGTGAAGGAACTTTTAAAAGGTCTTAACTTAAAGGAAGCATCTGTTCCTGACTCCACGTGTACTAAAAGTGCTCCATCAAGAGATTACCACTATACTGACCCACATCTTTCAGATCTCTTAAAAAGATAACTGGAAGCATGCATAAATTGCACTAGTTTAGGAAAAGATCCAAAATGCAAACCCATCATTTATGGACCTATCTCCATCACATCATAGCGTCCAAATTGATGGAACACATCTAAGTGTCCAATACAATGTTTTTTTATGATAAACACAACATACTTATCCCCTATCAGGTCAAAACGAAGTTGTGAGTCCAAATTAGTAAGCTTCTCCCATGAATTTATGACAATCTTGAATGAGGTCAACAAACTAATGTCATAGTCTTGTTTCAGTAAGGCACTTGATAAGATGGACCATCAATATCTGTAACTTTCAGGTGTCCCCCAGGGCTTGGTATTAAGTCTCCTATATAAATGGTCTACCTGAGAGTGTTAAAAGTAAGGTAAGGCTTTTTGCGCACGATACTGTTGTCTTTCAAACAACGATGCCCAAACTCTTCAAGATGACCTACATGCATGAGAATTATGGGATAAATAACTGGTTCATTGAGTTTAACCCTGATAATTTTCTAATACTCTGAATAACAAAATCAACAAACCTTGTAAATTTTCCTTATACCCTCCATAATATTCAACCTAAATCAACCCAAGAAGCAAAACACCTTTTCTGTTGTCTTCACTAAAATTATTAAACATTTTATTTAAAGAGGTTATGACCCTACTAATTTAATATACATACCGCACGCTTTAAACCTTTTGCAATTAGACGCTTCGCTTTCTTCTTTTGATTACATCTGACGAACCTAATGGGATACTCCATGATGGACAGTTCTTAAAGCCCTTTGGGACTGAATTGCCTTAATGTTTGTTTTCTGCCTTGATTCCTTGGGCCCTTGCAGGTGATTTTCTTGATGATCTGTCTTCATTTAAAACAATTAATACTTTTGCTATGGTCATTGGGTTTTCTGTTATACTCATATATTCTACATGATCATTTCTAAGTTTTACTTACTTCACCTTTTGTAACCATAACAACTGTTAGAATTTCACTTTGCGGGGATTCGTTCTATTTACACTGTTTCGTAAATAGGATCTTGGTGGGACTAAGAGTAAGGTTTGGTGCACCATTAACCGGTTTAAACTCCCCAGCAGTATTTATGCTGCTGACCGTTCCAAGGCGGCAGCCTTTCGGTTCCTCAGATGTATATCTTTGTTGTTCCATACTGTTTGGTGACACTTTTACTTGTGTCCCTTGTTGTTTTCACATCGATGCATCTTCCCTTTTGCCCCTAGTTTTATTCTTTTATTTTGTGCCTCCCCTTCCCTGTACTTAAAGTCCCCTTCGCCTGTGTCCTTTTACTTTGTGGGCTTTTTAATCAATCAATTGTATTTGATTATGTTGGTTACTATCACTTCCTTTTATGTATTATTAAGTGATTATCCTATTTGTGCTCTGCCAAGTGTCCTGTCCTGTTTTTGTTTTTAGACCTCCTGTGCTCCTGGTCGCTGGTCCTTGTTTCTTGGTTGTGTGGTGGGAGGAGTGCGTTCATTGAAAGTCGCCCTTCCTTGCTGATTTTGTTGACCATGTTTTGTGGAATAGCCTTCCCCTTTCTCTTCAGTCCAGCTCCAGTTTAAACATGTTTACTGAGAGACTTGACCCATTCTACAAATTCTAATTTGCACGCTATGTTTTTTTAAAAAAAATAGTCTTGTAGAAGTTTTATTCTTTTATCTTTTTAGATTTGCATATACTTAATGTCTTTCATTAACAGTTCCCTGACAACGCGCCAGCTAGTCATAATCAAAATTGATTGTTAAGCAGTATCATGTGAATGTATATGGTTGGGTTTTTATCGCCCGACATAATAGGCCAAACTTTATTTATTTATTTATTTATTATCAAAGCACAGCAAACGTAATCGTAAAGTTGTTGATGTAAGTAAAGATTTATTTCTTTAAAAAGCCAGTTTTCCAATTTTTATATAATGTTAGAAAATAAAAACAGATTGAAAATGTTTTGTCCTTTAAAGTATATGATTGTCTTTTATAGCTTAATGAATTAAATGCAATAAGGCATTCTTTCATAAATTTTGTAGCATGGAAATAATGCGTCATTGGCCAGCGCACATGTTGCAGCGTTAAATAATATTGCTAGAAATATACTCGCTTTAAATACAATAATATACGTTCATATTTTAACTTTGATAACTTAATTTGAAATTGAAAAGGCTAAATATGAAAGACATTAAGATATCCAGACAAAGTATGGGAGTTTTGAAGGATCAAATTCATGTACTATTTCTTGGGCTGTTAATCGGTTTAGGACACATTGCGCGAGTGTAGCCAACAAAATCCCATGTGTAGATGACTTAGCTCTGAACGCGCCTGAGGGCGCGTCCGTCGCAAAAACAAGAGCTATATAGTTTAGTTATAGACATAAAACATTAACTAGTAGACTTTGACTTCTATAGCAAAAGTTTTTCCTTTCCATAGCAACCAATGACTTCCATAGCAATCACTGACTTTCCATAGCTACCACTAACTTTCAATAACAACCAGATACTTCCATAAAAAACTAATTTTCATTAACAACCAATGACTTCTATAGCAAGCAGTGACTTTCCATAGCTACCTGTGACTTTCCATAGCAACCACTGAGTTCCATAGCAGCCAGTGACTTGATATAGCAAGTATTGACTTTCCATAGCAACAATTGACTTTCAATAACAACAATTGAATATCTATATCAATCATTGTCTTTCCATGGCAACCATTGTCTTTCCATAGCAACCATTGACTAGCTTTCATAGCAACCACTAACTTTCAATAGCAACCAGTGACTTCCATAGCAACGAGTGACTTTCCATACCTACCAGTGACTAGCAACCACTGATTTTTCAAAGCAACCATAGACTTCCATAGCAACCTTTGACTTTTCATAGCAACCACTGACTTCCATAGCAACCAGTGAATTTATAGCAGCCATTGATTTTTTCAAAGCAAACTGTAAATTTCAATAGCAACTAGTGACTTGCATACAAAACATTAACTTTTCATAGAAACGAGTGAATCTACCATTGAATTTCTTAGCAGGCACTGACATCCAAGGAAACCATTTATTTTGTATATAAACCGATGACTTCTTTAGAAACTATTGTTTTCCTTTGTGCATATTTCATAAATCTTCGATATAACTTTAACAGTTAGTCCATGGTTTAAGATATTCATTTTCAGTGTCAAATCTTCGACAAAATAATCTTGTGCATGTTCAAAAAGTACGCACTTAGATACTGAATTAGAAATCAAATGATAAGCAATTTCGTATTAGACTACCTGAACAGTGTCTAAAATTCACCTAAGATAGCCGACATGTTTACACTACGCGTTTCCACAAATGCACATGAATCCAGTTTGTAATATATGTGTTTACGTGTATAACAAAATTATAATTTACAAGTGGTCTGTACAAATTATTCCCTGTGCAATAATATGCTTTCAATTGCTCTAACCTTTTTTCTGTGAGGTATACATATTACTTAATTAAGAATTGACAAAGGAGTTCAACATGTAAGAATCATTTTAATTGTTTGGTTTTTGTTACAGAATTAATACAGAAATAAATAACAGGAACAGAACAGAAGATATTTCGGGACCCAGTCTTCCAGACATTACCATGTTTGATGCTTCAAAACCACGTTTGAAAACCACTGGAATTTTTAAACCAATGGAAGACGCATTCGCAAAAGATGAGATGAAAGCTCGAGTTTACTTAAATGAACTGGTGTCTCAAAATGAAGATGATGAAATTCAACCGCCGCGATGCGATGATATTAAATATGAGCGTGGACTATCTGCAGTTTCTCTCAAAATAGTATAGACTACTAGTCAAGAACAAGAAAAAATGTACATGTAATCACTTTTTATGCATTTTTGATAACTAGAGCTACACAAATTTGGTGCAACAAAGCTAATTATTGATTCACAGACGGACAAGCAATGAATCGAAGATAAATTTGTCTTTGTTTTCTATTTCAATGTTCTATTACACGAATATTATGTTCTATTCATCACATATGCAATGAAAAGACGGGTTTTATCAGTTTTTCATTGACGCGCTTTTTAAGTGTAATGCTATAGACCTTTTTACAATACGATTTTCCATAGCAACGAAATGTTGCATTTCGCGCATGCGCATTCTGCGTAGGGCAGAACGCAATAACGATGTCTACAGTCTATCATACTTTTAGGCTTTAATAGATGCGATTTCATGGTTATGTGACCCAAAACATATTGATTTTGGATGACTTTAAGGCGGTAAGTACTGAAAACGTGAATTTATTTTTTTAACAGATCTACGAAAATGTGCGGGACTAATAATTCAATGATCAAAAAGGCACACACATGTCGTTTGTTTAAGGTATCATTAGGCGGCTTTTTCAAATCAGTAATTTAAATTGAAACAGCAGGGTGTTATAGATATAACTTTATTACCCCTGTATTACATAATATTTACACAATTTGTATTGTACACTTCCTTTTTAATAACTGGATTGGTCAGGCGGCAAGTGTCAAAACAGATTGGCACGCCAACGGTTGTTCATTCAACCGGGACTTTTATAAATACCATGATATAATTAATCAGTTACGCTTATTAAAATGGTAATTTATGTAACTTTAAATAAACCGATCAATGTTTATGGATTGTGAGAAGAGAAAAATAACGTGCATTATTAAAAATATCATGTATTACCACGGATTTATATTATGTAATATGAATCGGTAGTATTACGAAGAAGCGGAAAAAATGTGTGTTATATCTTTTCCAAACAACCCAACCTAACTTTTCAAGATTTTGAAAACAATAATTAATTATTTTAAATCTATTTATGTGACTTAATTTTTTTCTGTTTGCATCACAGGCAAATCGGATAAAGGATATATATAATCAGGTATATATATTGAGCAAATTGAAAAATGCATTACCCATCACCTGTTCTGATCGTTTTTCAGAATTATAATTAATCTCGATTTCATGTTTTAAAATTTCTTTTGTTTTTATATGAACTATTTCAACAGCAAATAAGTTGAATTTTCATTTGCTAATAGATACATTAATTTACACATCTTCTTTAAAAAAAATAATCTCAGCTAGTGTCAGGTCCGTGATCGTAAATTCTTAAACAAGTATCTTTTCCATGCCTTTTTATGACATTCTTCGCCACAAAGCTATAAGACATCTTTTCTATATTTGTTAAAAGCTATTTCATATAATTTCTACCGTTTATCTTGAACTAACTCGGTATTGTCTATGAACTTCTGCTATATTTCTATGTAGGGCGAAGGATTTTCTGCCCTACGCAGATTGCGCATGCGCGGGAAAATTCTAATTCCGGTCGATCTTTTATAGCAACGGACCGCGTGGTAAAAAGGTCTATTATTATGTTTGTATATTTAGCTTTATGTTTGTAAAACGCAAATGACTTCATGATATTAGTGTAATATCGTGTTTATTAAATAGCTTTATCACATAAACTACGGCGCAGAAGTGTAATGAATAGAGGATATTGGATGAGTGTAAGTTCAATGGTGAATTTATGGCACGAGTTGAATAAAATTATATTTTGCGCGCATTTGGCGAGCATGATATTATTTTTTTCAACGAGATCAATAAAATCTTTAAAAAGATTCTTTTTTCATTGACGCGACTATAGTATAACGCTGACATATAGCGCGTTTTTACACTATCGTTGTATAACGCTTTTGACGTCACGTCAAAATATATGCACGGCCGTGCAATACCATTTTTACTGAGTCGCAAAATCAGCACGAGTGTGTGATAAAACCATTTAATAAAAAATATATCATTATTGTTTTAAATTAGTTTAATTTCTGAATACACATTACACTTTTATTGATCATATATTTGTTTTACATTCATTTAATTTCTTTTACTTTTTACGGTTCAATTTTACTATCATTATTATTTTAAAGCTTGATTTCATGCTTCTTGTTGCTGAGTCGTGTTGTGGTTGCAGCTATTGAACGCCGTCTTTCCTTGTTAATCTTGTTTATCAAATTTTATTTATCATTATTTGCATCAACTGCACGTTCTTTTAGCCTTAAACAAAAAGTTTTTCTACCATAAACTTCTCTTTTTATTTGCAATGATTAATTTTAATTTATTCATAGTTAGCATGTGTTACAACTGTTACATATTAGCAATATAACAAGAGTGAATGGTATAATCTTGTATACAATCATTCTTTTCGAAACTACGATTGTAACTATGTAAGTTACAGAAATTGCCATACCTGTAGAAAAGTACTCCTGAATATATAAGCAGTCATAGAAAATGTCAACTCTTGTATTTCTATTAAACGGACAATTGAACTGTTGCAGAATATTAATTATATATACCCTTAATGCATTTAGATATAAGATCAGATATATATTTTGCTGCCCAAGTGATTTCATCTTCAATAAATACTAATGAAACAACGATAGCATAAAAGGCCAACAACTGTACATCAATAGTTGTATTCTGTCAATGTTTAATTTTCAACGTTTTGCAAATCTAGGGCATCTAACTGCTGAATTTTAATTTTTACATTTTTTTTTGTATTCTCAATTTTCTTACACAAAATATTTTCTTATAATATTACTGATATCTTGATAGAATTATCACGTGTTTGAAAAACATATTTGTTTACTAGAATGTGGTTTGTAGTGAATTCCGCAATAAAATATGTTCTTTTTGGCATCACTGTTCTTTTTTATATACATGACAAACAAGTTAATCAAAGGTCGACAACTAAGATTAGCCGAAATATCTAAAACGCCGTATTTCATCGGAGACCAGACACTGATCTCTTGTTTGTGACACCGAAAACAATTACTCTTCTACCTTGACAAGAACTTAAATATGGTTGACCGCTTCGAATAATTACTAATTATCATTGTCACCAAAACATCTTCTGCATGTCTTAAAAATGGCCAGTTGTCATCAAATAGTACCTACTGACAATAACAACTGTCCACTTATTACTTCTGCAACATCAGTCTTGTCATTTCTACAATGATAGAAGCTAGTTTATCATTTACTGTTAAATCGTAAATATCATTTAATTGAATAATGAGAACTGCTATTTACCAGAAAATTGTCCGGAGTGCAGAATTAAGAAGTACGGGAATTACATAGAAATAAAAAGGATAAATTACGGGACCCTAAAAAATTGTTCGGATTTCAGAAATTTCCCCGATTTAAAATTTTTGAAATTTTAAAATTAAAAACTTTAAATTTTTCCAGGGGAATTTATTTACATTTATTTAAACCCTCACATTTTTCAGGCAAACATGTACAACCCTGTGGGCTGCCAGCTTATACTTTACATCTGGCTAAATTTCCAAAAAATAACCTTGGGCTTTTTACGGATTGAAATAGTTCAAACCCCGGGGTTGAGGTGTAACTTTGATAATTTTAAAGAAAGTAATATTTTACATCTTGAGAAAATAAAAACTTTTTTCCCGGGAAAAAATGAAATTTACAATGTCTGACAACATAAAAAACATTTGAAAACCCCCCAAATGCACAATTATTTAAACCAAAACAGAAAAATACAAAGGTAGAAAATTTTTTACAACCAAAAATAAAAAAGTAAAATAAATGAAGCCTATTTACTAAATTTTGTACGTGGTATTTGGGATGATCAAAAAGTTCTCAGCCCGTTATACTTCTTGCCGCTACACTGACATTTACATACCGATATCTTATTGAAGATTACAGACAGAGTTACACGCGGTTTAACTCAGATTAAGTAACATAAAACAGACATTGATCAATAGAGGGATGTGTCATTTAAACCAAACGGAGAAAGTAAAAATTAGAGCTGTCATTAAATATCTCTGTAAGAAAAGGATGTCCCAAAGGAAATTCATAAGGACTTTATGGATACACTTGGGAAGGAGTCCCCTTCCCATAGCACTATGAACAATTGGCTGCTGAAGATAAGACGGGCAAGAGAACATTGGAGTGATGAAACTGTCGCAGCTGTGCACGATCTGGGTCATGTGCGACAGGAGGCGAGACCTACGAAGCATTGCTAGGGAAGTGGGCATAAGCTTGGTATAAATCCAGGCAATTCTGACTGATGTCACCGACTCGCCAAAGAAAACAACAAGTGATCTCCATTGAATTACAACAACTCTCAACAGTTTAGTAAATACAAAACCTGAAACATATTTTTGATGCTCTTTGAAGATAGTGACATGGTGATAAGCACTCCTTATATCAAAAGAAAAACGAAAATCCCCGGCTTTAAACATTTGCTTATCAACTGACTGATCCTGAAATTGACATTTAAATTTGAAAAAGGTCAGGATTAATATGCCTACAATCTAAAACTAAACGAGCTTTTCCCGATTTTCTATAAGCCACTGTTAAAGGCTTAACGATGTACGGCATTTCTAGAGTATCCGTTATACAGCCCTTTCTTAGTAGTTTATAACCAAATTTTACAATGTTAAGAATATATTGACTTGCACAACCCGGGATTAGACTTTTACCTGCTTCAGCTTACGATCTATTTTCATTTTAGCTCTGAAATTTTCTTTTCGTCGTCGGAGTCGTCAGCTAAGGGATGTGTCTCATATTCTTGTACAACTCATCACCAACAATCAGACGAATCTGCAAGCTTAGTAAATTTTTCTTCTCTATGATTAAGTACGTCAATACTTTCGTCAATTTTCCTCGTTGCTGAAGTAATTCCCTAGCTTGGAACCGTTCGTTTACAGCGTCCTAGAGGTAACATAAGCTTCCTTCAATATATCAAGGGACAGACACGTTGACTGTTTGTTGCCCTTCATGTTTCCTTTTTACAGAAAGTGTAACTTTCGTTCGATGCCAAACTTTGATGAATCCTCGAAATTTTAGCTTGAGAAAATTCTTTTTGAGAGGTTTTAAATTCTGCTTTTTTTGGAAATATCATTATTTTCATGCTCGAAATGAAGTTCAATTTGCTTATTAAACATGGCTGCTATACACACGTTGTCTTTCCGGTAGTAAAAAAGAGAAGAATGTTGCTTGTACCAACAAATATTTCACTTCACGCTTTACTAACGAAACGCGTGAAATAGATAGTCTTTCTTCCTTTCTTTCGTTTAAAGAAATAACAAAAACATAAATACAATACCAGACGTGCGATTTATAAAGCACAAAAAGAGGGACTTAAGAAACAACGAGATTTTACTTGCTACAGCGCCATTGATTTTGAAACATCACGGAGTCCGGAACATATGACGTCTTACTATTTTCTCCTTTCCAACGCTCATGTCTCTTCATGCACCTGTCATTTACGCCAGCGTTAGCCGTCATAGTAGCGCCCCAGCACGAAGAGAATGAAAATAGATTACCCCTTTTAATCTAGAAACAGAACATTTTCTAACCCTAGATAACTTAACCATTTGTTTTTGTGTATAGAAACTACATTCCCCTTTTGATCTAAATCACGGTTTAAACGTGAAGTTGTCATCCGAAACGGACAATTTAAACCAGTAATTTGAAAATATATTTTAGTCATATTATACGGACATGCAACTGATACACCCTTCGAAATAACGATTGTTTTACCCTGTCGGTACTGGTCAGTCTTTCATTTTCTGATATAGAAAGAAAAATGATTGTCGTAAAACTGAATATCGTTACAATGAAAATTAATTAACTCATTAAACCTAAAAAAACATGAGTAAGCTAGTAAAATCATTGATAGATCTCGAATTACTAACTAGTACATCATTACAGTGCCTGTATTTTCACATAAAGTTATTAAATCGTCAAATAAATCAACATAATAATCATACACTATCAAGCACATAAGACTCGTGTACAAGTACTGACCAGTAGTTTACATTGTAAACTATACACGATACGAACGAAACACGTGAAATAGATATTTTTAAGAGTCTCAGTATACATTTGTAATATCCTGTACGATTGGATCTTAGCTAATCCTTACCATTGAATATCAAGCTTGCATACGTAAGAGACTAGCAGACAATGCCGTTGAAATACAGACAAAACATACCTAGTAATTTATCTAACCCTGGTCTTTACAGAGCGAACCTCCTTAAGATCACCAAATTATGCTTCGTTTCCTTACCTGAAGTCAGGCAATAAAAGAGATTGTGGTTAAACATTTGATATATGTATATGAACCGTTACTTTTGAAACAATGAATGATTGGTATACCTGTGTTTCGGCTTATTTTGTTAAATATGAATGGTAATGAGTGACGATAATAGAAGAATTTGTTCTGACGCACTTCTCTATGATTATAATAAAAGTACATGTATATTGACCTTGTAGTTTTTATTCATTTTTTACCTTTTAGCTTTTTCAATCACTTCATGTTCAACATCATTTCCAGACCAATGAAATCACTTCAGTCTTTAAATTGTAAAGACAAACTTAAATGCTGATTTATACGACTTATTACTCTTAATAATTAATATTTTTGACTAATTACGCATGTGTTAACCCCACCTTTATATTACGACTGTTAAATGGAATGACAATGAAGGATTATGTTCTCGTACAATGCTCAACAAATACATAAGAATTTGTTGAATGCTTACGTTTGGAACGATTATGTATATTGTATCACTCTTCTACTCGCTCTTGTCATATGTTTTCAACCGTTAATTTATACTGAATAATATACTAGACACTTTTTAATATCTTTATTATAAATTTTATTTATATACCATGGCTTCCTCAATTATGATTTTGTTTACAACAGATATAGCAATTATATGCCGTGTAATATTTTTAGTTGTTTCGCCAAGTAGCTTTACAATTGTTCATAATATTGTGCAATCTAGCCTGACCTTATAAAGATAATTTTCACTATACATGTATATGACATTTGTTTGCTTCTAGACACACATTAATTTTGTTTACTTTAAATGCAGATCTTATGTAACAGTTAGAGAATAAACAGCGGTTATACAGACTCTTTTCTGCTTGAAATTATACAAAATAGTAGACATTTCTTTACTATGAAGGCATATTTAGCGTTTGCAGTTGCAGCAGTATTGTGTGGCGTACAGGCTATGCCTGCAGAAATATCATTGTTAGAGCGTTTGGAGAAACTAGAAAACACGGTTGCAAATTTGGTGTCAAGTTTTTAAGCAAGAAATAAACGGGGTAACTTAACTTTTACTTTCTCCAATCTTTAATATTATGTTATTTGGTCTATACAAGAGATAATGCATTTCAGAAGAAGACAAAACCCTTTAACAATGTATTTGAAAGATGACCAAGTATAATTGTATGTTTTTATTGTTTTTATAACGTACTTGTTAAAGAGTTATTTGTATGTTAGATTTAATGGTATTTGTTATAATATTTCTCATTGACTTACTTAGTCTTGGATCTAAAGGACAATTCTTTAATGTTCACTTCGTTTACGTTTCAGCTTTAGTCGAATCCGGCGTATCATTCTCCGCAGTTCTTGATGATGCACTGTTTAATATCGTAATTGGACAGACAATTGTTTTCAACAAAGTGTTCCTTAACGAAGGAAACGCATACAATGCCCAAACTGGCGAGTTTACGGTACCCATGGATGGCGTTTATCTCTTTTCTTACTTTGTAGCCGAATGGAACAAAGATGAGGTTGTTTTACGACTTTTAGTGAATGGTGAAAATAGAGTTGATGCTGTCGCTGAAGGTTTGCAAGATCGTCATAATGATCAGGGAGGGAATTTAGTGATATTGAGGCTGCATGCGGGAGATACAGTTTTGATTCAGGCTTATGATAGTTCAAACGTCCATATTGACGGCGCTGCAAGTTACTGGTATACGTCGTTTTCTGGTGTCCGATTGTATGCATAGAGACTGGAATAATATAATATATTCAAGATGTATGTTTTGGACTGGAATTGTTCGATTGTCACTCTTCCGACTTGTACACAATTGCAACTTTTCGGCCCTTTCCGTCAGTCTTCGGATAAGGATCTCGAGCACAAAAGTATGAATACACAGAACGGATGCGGTTTCGGTCTAACCTACGCTAAGAAACTAAAATGTAAACAGTAGTGATTTAATGCCGGGAGTTGTCGGCAAGTTTATCACCAATAAATCAAGTAAAAGTCCATTATAATAAGTGAATTCATACATACAAAAACAAACAATACATTATTAAAATATTTTCTATCATGATTGAAGAAACCGAAAGTACAAAATGCAAATTTGTTGACATTTAGTCGGATTTGTTTAAAATTGCACAGCGGCCATATTTAATTTAAATTGAAAATGGTTGTCAGACATATTTTCAATCATAATTGTATCGAAACAGACTTTATTTTCCTTTTTATGTCAAATATATACATTCGTTTTACATATTTCTCTCTGTTTCTGTTTACATCTGAAACCACGTGGTAGAACTACTTTTAATCCATATGTACTTCGAGGTTATTATCCCTTTCACTCATGAGCATATTGTGAGAAATGGCCGTTTTCATTGAAATGTCTCCTGCTACAAGTTCAAACTGCTATGAAACTATGAAAAATGCTTCAATACTAATCAAACTTGGCATTAAATGTTGACTGGACCATTGCCTTTGTAAAGACATGCTCAGTCTTAAATTTCCTGTAACCTTGGCAACGAGGGGACATCTCAAATTTGACTAAAAACACTTTTTTGTGTTGATTTTTTCCGTCAAAATTGATTTCAAAGTACTGCAACTTCTCAGTGGACTGAGATAGAGTCAAAGGCTTTTCAGCGTTGGTTACACATTACCTTATGATCCACCTGGGGTCATTTTTTGCCTCTCAGAAGTCCCCCTAAAAAGAGGGGGAAACATACCCCTTCTGGCAACCCCCATATGTACCTTTTGGATGGAGGCGGCGACGAAAAAGTAATCACTTTTTTATCAAGATTTCCCAAACAAAAAAATTTGTTTGGGGCCTAAATAGGGTTATTTTTCACTGTTTGAGGTCTCAAATAGGGGAAGGGGTCGAAAAGCCGTCAAAAAACGTCTATATGAAGTAAAGGGTTAAAAAATATAGCCGAGGACGTTCCGATTGACTGATAAACTTACCATTTGCTTTGACCATTTGCTTTGTCAAATAGATAAATACAGAACCCCTAAAGAAAGCCCAACACGGCAAAATTGAAAATGTTGCAGGCTCGGTTTGATTGAGCCTGTTCATGGACGGTACTGGAAAGTGCAAGTTACCGTCCACGCCCTTAAGCAGAATTCAACATTTAAACATGAAATAGTAAAATTTTGAATTTAGAAACATCCGCAGATGTGTTCATACGGCGGTTATCATGGAATCTTCAATGTGACACTTCCGTGCCATTCCATGAAAAGCGGCGTATGGTCCCCAAGTAATAAAAAGCGTGTGCCCTAAACGAGAAAACAATGGGTGGAACTAAATAAAATGGAATTTTGAAAGGGGATCAGAGGTTATGAAGCCTGCGTATCACAGATAAGACGTCAAAAGACAAATTTAAAAAGCAGGCAACATATCCTAAGGGTGATTCAACATTATTCAAGTAGGAATATTGGAACCACCCAACTAGAAAATGCCGAAAAGTTGAAACCAAAAAATACCACAAGCACAACAATAATGTCGTGCTGAACGATCTTCAAGGATCGAATATATAACATCATTGATTAAATGTACGGGGAGACTTTTTACAGCCGCCACTAACTATTCCAACTTCTATTACTTTTAGATTGCTATACTCTTAAGAAACATATTTGTGTTTCGAATAACAGAAAAATTACCAAACTTTACAAACAATATTGATATTTTTGTCAAGAACAGTTAATATACTCTAAAACATTTTGATTCTTGATTAATGCATAAGGAGAGTGCATCAAGATATCGGGTATATACTGTTATTATGTTTCCATTGACATACCAGTAGTGTACCTTTCATGTTGTTCTATGAATTACAAATCTAGGTTACATAAATGAAGATAAGAACAAACCTGAAATGTTTAAACGTGATTTTTTAATGTATGTAACAGCACGATTCAGTCGAAAGTTTTTGGACACTAGAAACGGACAGATGTTGTTTACATATGACATTATCTGGTGGAAGCCTCATGGGGAGACCACGACACTTGCTTAAAGTATATATGGCCTTGTCATACCAGCAAGTATAATCAAAGTATAGACTTGTATTCACGTAATGATGCATTTATGTGTGGTACTTTTGTTTCAAGCATTTACTGCTGTATATGCTTATCCTATTGAAAATTTATACGGAAAATTGTTGCAGCAAGTGAATGAACTTCAAAGAACAGTGGCAAAATTGGAGAAATCAGTTGAACAAAGTAATGTTATGGCAAGAAATAAACGAGGTAAACTTTATGTAATGTATTTCATAGTACTAATTAGTTCTTGTCGTTTTGGACATTTAAAAATGTGTTTTCCATTTAATACGTTATTTCAGATATTTGTCATCTAATTCAAAATTTACTCAAATTTGCAAAAGCATTGTTTTCAAAGAACCTCAATATATGGCGTCATTGCACTGAATTTGTCTGAGCTGAGCACTTGCAATTTAAAAGTAGTGAGCTAGAACAGGCTTGCGCCGTAAGAATATCTAAGATAAAGAATATATATGCTAGGTTTTGGTTGATAATCAATTGATCCGCGACAGCAATGGTCTTTTACTTTGAACTTAGATTTCATTTACTCCAAACTTGCTGTTTAGAATGACTTTTTTTTATACCAATGACCTTCGTTCAAATGTCACCCTGCTAAGAATTTAAAGCATGTTTATGTGATGCATATTATAATTATCATCAAATGTTCAAACCCCGTGGAAGATCCTTTTAAAGTTTGCTGACACAATTTGAGACGGTTAGGCTTGCACTATTGAGTGTTGAAAATTGAGTACCACTCAAGCCGGTGCTAGGGGGCATGAGGGGTGCTGCACTTATTCATTATCCATCATTATCCCACATATTCAAACAAACCGAGTCAAGTAATTTTGTTGTGATTAATGCTTCCGAGGGATCACTTTGTTTCCAGATTTTGAGCTTAAAAACATACTTTGTATAAAAATAGATTTAATGATACTTGCCTTTTACAAGACCGCTCGGGATATAAATGAAATACTAATGCCAAAATGTTTATCATGTCCAAGGTACAGATCATGTTCAGTCTTGCTTGGGACGGAATGTCATTCATTTATGTTACGCTAACGGATTATGTTGGATCCAGTAATAGGGTTCCTGATTGAAAAAGAGATCGTGAAATTTTATCTCTTTATGCAAATAATGAATTGTTCAAACTGGTATTTTAGATCTTTGTATGAACTGGCATTTTAGATCTTTGTATGAACCTTACTTACGAACTTGCTATGATTGATTTAATTTAAAGAACAAAAGATATTTAACATAGTGGTGAAACGCTCTTATTTTGTTAACCTTTGAAATACCAATTCTGATGCAGGGCCATAACAATACTCTTTTCTAAGAAACATAACGTTTTACCTTATATAGGTGTATTATTTATTGTAGCCGACGCCAGCCCTCCAGTCGGTATATCGTTTTCTGCAATTCTAGATGATGCACTATCTAATATCGTAATTGGACAAACCATCGTTTTCAACAAGGCGTATATCAACGACGGTGACGCATATGATACAAATACTGGAGTGTTTACCGTACCGATTGACGGCGTTTACTTGTTGTCATGCTTTGTTGGCGAGTACGGCCCTGCATGATCAGGTGTTGTTACAACTTCAAGTAAATGGTAAAAACAAAGTGGATGTTATTGCAGAAGGTATTCAGAACGAACATAATGATCAAGGTGGAAATTTAGTCATTTTGAAACTTGGAGCTGGAGATCGAGTCCTTATACAAGCGTACGGTGTTCCTAATGCTCTCATCGACGGCGGTGCAGATTATAAATATACTTCATTTTCCGGTGTTTTGTTGTATGGTGCTGGTATTTAGTTTCCTGTGAATATTAACATAAAATGAATAATTCACCAGATGTTAAATTATCAAAGTGCTTGAAAATTAAACTTATTTGACTGCAACTCATGATGTAAATTTATGTCATGAATAGTAAGTTTTTTGTCCATAGGGATCTTCTCTAATAGATCACAAAGTCGCAGTTGTTGCCTTATAGAGCTCATCGGGGATCTTCATTCGACACATTTCACTGAATAGTACGCCATTTTTTGATTTTATAATAAATAATCTTAAAATCAAACAAGATACGAAGACTGTAAGACCTCAACTCAAAAGATGAACATTTATAGGAGCCCTGGTAATGCTTATGTCATACCCATGGTTTGTAAAAATCTTTTTGTTCTTAGAGAGTTATTTATGAACTTTTCAATATGTTCAGCCCGACCTTTCCTTATTTTGCCATTGACAACCAAACCGTACAATGAATTCCTAAAACTGTAAATGCATTGATATATACCAAAATGCTTGTTATCGGGTCTAAGGAGTATTGAACAAAAATGAATCAATAGAGTATATTCGATAATAATAATAATAATAATAATAATAATAATAATAATAATAATAATAAAATCTTTATTTAGAAAAGTGTTATCAACTAGAAAATATTACCTTAAAAAACATTACAACGCAAAAGATGACACCAACATTTAGTACCTGACATATAAATTACTGAAATGTATCAAAGACTCACATATAAAAACATTTATAGTATTCCACAATGTTATTGCCAATAAAAAAAAGTAATTACAATTTGTTTATCTGTAAACTTCATAATTCTCTATAATGTTTCGTATAATTGTCCACCTGTTGATATTTTAAAGGTTCTACAATGAGTAGTGTTGCATGACAGGACTGGAAATACGTTTTCAAGATTAATGTTCCATTTGATGTAGGTCTAGACCAATAGCTTCTGTGCAGAAATTCAGATCATTCCGTCATCACGTTTTTCGAGAATAATTCTTGTGAAAATATTACCTCATAATGCCCTAGCTAATCTATGTAAGAAATTCTAATTTGATGTTCTTGTTTTTTGGACCTCAATTTAGTTCCTTTTCAATTTAGAACTGTAATTCTTACATTGATATTGTTTTCTTGTTCGGCACACTTGCTTAGTGACACAGAATTCATTTTAGCTTGATTGTGTAATAGACACACTCAAATATAAGTTTCTTTCTCAAGGAGACTTTCTATTCCGCCAACAAACCTTATAAAGTTGACAAAAAATATCTTAAGAATTGCAATGTTCCATAGCTCTCACATTGCTCGACAAATATAAAAGGACATATTTGAATACCAGATAATTAGAGAAACTTAATAAACAATTTTGATATTCTTTAAAATAAAATTTATTTAAATCTTATTACTCGAATAATGCACATATGTTTGTGCATCATGATATCTGGGAGGTATCATTGACATTTCAGTCCTGCCCTGTTTTCATGTATTACAAATATAAGCTTTAAAAATGCAGTTTAAAACAAATTTAGAATGTATATAAAGGATAGATAAAAACTAAAAACTATTTCCAATGCGAAACCACTATGTTATAAGTATGTTAAATAAATCCAAACGTTTATGATGTAAAAAACTATTGAATTTCGTTTACAAATGATATCATTCAACTTAAGATAACTGAGCAATTGAAATAAGTGTAGCCCGTGCTACATGGTGTGAATTGCAGTTTGAACTTTACTACCGTTGTCTATGAACGGGCTCAAACCGATCAGCAAGATTTTATAATTTTGCCGCATTAAGCGTTTGTTTAATGTTTTCATTTATAAATAATTGTCAAACCAGTGGTAATTGCATCTATCGGGTTGAGCCTTTAAAATGTTCCCAATACATTACATCAGAGATGTTGTATTTTTGATCCATAAAGATCGCTCAGGCCGATATTTTTATTTTATATTCATGTCAAGATGTGTTTTCATGTACTTGTTAATCGAATAATTTAATGCTGCATATATTTAAATTAACATGCAACCCAAAATTCATAGGTAATAAGTGAATGAACGTCAAATGACTTAAGCAAAGTAAGAGAAACCAGATTAACAAAACAAGAAATAAAGGAGAGATGAAATTCTTTTAGCTCAACTATTATACACGGAGAGCTATAGCCCTACGTTCTATCTAGCGTCGGTGCCAGTGTTTATACTGTATTTTTGATTTAAGTTTTTGTACGGTAAATATTGTTTCTAAAACTCGTTTTATTAATTGATATTTCTACTTAAAAATCAAAGATATGTTTCTTATCTTTACCAACGCCATACGTGGTACGATTCATTAAACTATTTTTCTAAAAAATGGAGTATTTTAATGTAATTCTTTTATTTCTTGAGGGGTTTTACTTCATACGTCGAATATGTGAACCGAATCACCACCCGCATCACAAGTTATACGTCCGAATCTCTAGCGGCCATATTTTGTAGAATTATTTCTTAGTGGAACGTATTATTTTTCATGCAATTATTGCATTTTACGATATTTTCTGTGAGGAATTTACTTTAAAATTTTAAATTGATAATCCTGATCATTGACGGAAACATGAGGGAATACAAAAAGACTCTTAATTCTTCAACTTCTACCATATCTTTCCTTTCTATCAAATAGTGTTTAGTTTGAACAAGCCAAAACGTTTTTTTCGTCAGCCTTACACTTTTCCTCAGGATGAACGGACACCTGAGTTGAATAACTGACGGTTTGACGCACATATTAAAGTCTAGAAATTTCTGAGACCTTGTGTTTTAAAATTGAGTTTTTTAGCATAAAGCACTTTTGATACGAGCGCAAAGGCATCATTTTGACGATTTTAATAGGACTTCATGTACGCTGATTCTCGGTTCCAACAGATTGTGTTCTTAAGGCTCAATCAGTACTATATCACCCTTCATACTCTTTCTCTTTCATGTACAACATGCATTATTAAATCAAATGTTTTGAAGAATTTTTGGTACGTGCTTTATTTTCATGTTTTGGCCACAAACACAAAACAACAGTATTCTCAGATTTTAAGGCGGAACTTGCTTTAATTTCTTCTTCATTTTTAACTTCATTCATTTCTTTCTTGATAAAAGATATGTTTTTTGACAAAAGTATAATAAATTAGTGAGTAAATACTCGGAACTAATTTCCATACATATATATTAGCAGTGGCAATGATTTCATGACTGTTCTGCTAGGCGCTGTATCGTAATTGGACTGACATATTGATATGGTTGTTAATCTCTTATTTCTATAATAATCTATATGCGGTCTTGTATCTTTATCATGTCCCACAAAGGGGAAAGTACAACTCTATTTAATTTAATTATCGACCTTTATACATTATTCATCTAAATTCATTGTGTCAAAAGACAATGAAAATGTCATCGTTGATTTGTGAGACATGATAAAAGAGAAAGAACTCTATATATGCAAATGTTGAGCCAGTTTCAATGTGAAGTGCAGTTTGTGACTGTATATAAAGCTGTTCTGAAACCATCATTTTGGGATGGTGGATTAGCAGTGGCTATGCCTTTATGGCTGTTCTGCTAGGCGCTGTGTTGTAGTTGGACTGGCATATCGATATGGTGATAGGTGTATATTTATTTTATCATTTCTATGATAATTTATATGCGCACTTGCATCTTTATCTGATCCCACGAAGAGGAAAGTAAAAAAGTGAATTTAATTATCTAATTATCGCCCTTTATATATACTGTTTAGTACAATATATTTTAATCCTACACAGATTTTGCATGCACGAGAAAAATATGCATTTGTTTTATTCTGCACATCAACGAGGAGTCCCTCTAACAGTCATATTTGAAAATCTAACCATGCCCTATTTTTCAATTTGTTGCTCAAGAAATTATATCTTGTTATCTTAAACAAGACGATTTTTCATCACTAACCCGTGCCGATTTTACAACTTCGTTAAAGTTGTATTGCACGGTCGTGCTTTTTTTTGACGTGACATTATTTGTGCTTTATTTGTGCTTTGTTATACTGTTTTACATTGGATAATCCTGGTTTTTATATAATCTATACGACTGCAGTCGATTGACAAAGTATTTCTTTTCGTTTTCCTAATAAAGGAAGTTTGCAGTATTATTGATTCGTTATAAAGGTTCTTGACAGATTTTATAACCATTTATAAACGTTTATTTTTTAAGCTCCCCGAAGGATGAGCCGATGTCACTTTGTCTGTAAGTCCGTCCGTTTGTCTGTCCGTCCGTCCGCTTTTCTTGTCCGGGACATAACTCTGTAACTACAAGAGGTATCAACACGGAAATGTGTAGGTAAAAATATCTTAGTAGGTAGATGCTCAGTGCATAAGAACAGTAACTTTGCCTTGCCAAATTTTTGAGTTATTGTCCTTTGTTCATTTTAAACTTTGAACTTTGTCCGGGGCATAACTCTAAAAGTAAAAGAGATATCAACATGAAACATTGTAGGTAGATTGATATTATTTGGTAGAGGTGTAGTGCTTAAGATTAGTAATTCTGCCTTGCCCTTTGTTCAGTTTTATACTTTGAACATTGTCTGGGACATAACTCTGTAACTTATAGAGATATCAACATGAAACTTTGTAGGTAGAAAGATCTCATTGGGTAGACGGGCAGTGCAAAAGAACCATTAGTCTGCCTTGCCAAATTTTGGATTTATTGCCCTTATTTATTTTACACTTTGAACATTGTCCAGGACATAGGTCTGAAAGTATAATAGATATGAACAAGACACTTTGTATGTAGATATATCTCATTAGGTGGATGCGCAGTGCGCAAGAGTTGTAACAATGCCTTGCCTTATTTTGGGGTTATTGCCCTTTGTTCATATTAACATTTTGAACTTTGTCTGATACACTTTAAGAGATATGAACAAGAAACTTTGAAGGTAGATAGATATCATTGGGTAGATGAGCAGTGCAAAGAACAGTAACTCTGTCTTGCCTAAGTTTGGAATAATTAGACTTTGAACTTTGTCCGGGACATAACTACAAGGGGTATACTTTTCAGTGTCCAAAACCTATTTAGGAGCATCACCCGGTTCTTGTTAATATAGTTTAAATACAACCGATTATGTAAGATCATATAACCTGTAAATTTATTTCATGGGTGTTTGTGGAAAGGTATCAGGGATGGCATTTGGAACTGCTGACAGAGAGAAGAGTTCTAAATGTTATCCCTGATACCGAGGAACAACAGTTTACTGTTCCACAAACACCCATGAAATAACTGTTTTTTTTACCTAATTCTTTGCAATCAAAATAACGCTTTTACAACCGAATCCTACAGACGTTTGAATATTTTAAAATCACGACCGTTAAATGAGCTGAGCGGCGTTCAAAAATCGAATATTAGCGAGCGGCGTTAACGAAAATACTCGATGACAAAGGATAAACAGTAACAATGTTTACCGGTTGAT